CTCCTCTTAGGCTTTCCTTCGAGTGCTTCTCATTCTTCTATGGGTCAATTTGCATCTCCACAATATAGGCCTCCTTCAGTAGTTTCTCCAATGCGCTCACATCGTCAGGAATACTATACAGCTAGAGAAAATTATTATGACATACCATCGCCAAGTCCTGCAGGAAATGATGTGAGTTTTTCGCTGCCGTAAGCAATTCGACGGAGCTTATCTGAAATTTTCCAACTTTTAGATGTATCATGGGTATAACCGTTCATCTCCGTCTCGATACTCGTCTGTTGTCTACGCTCACGATACTGGTCCTCGCACTAGGGTTATCCAGGCCCAATCTGGCACAATCCCGCTCAGCGATTCTGAATCGGATGACCAGGAGCGATGGGCCGTTGTTTGATCTCAGCTTCTTTATTTCTTATCACCACATGTCTCATATATGACCCGGTTGCAATACTCAAGGAAATTTTCGCTAGAATTTTTTGTTTAACCCGGACCTCAGCGCGTTTTGCAATATTATTTATCTTGGTATATCTTCCGTGTGCCAATCCAGTGTCATTTCTCATTTTTACATGTTTTAGGCCTTCATTCACTAGATTGGCTATAATTTATTGTGTAACATAAAGTAATCAGAACTCTCTAAATTAGCTATTCATTTGCGATAAGTTATGCAGACTTATTCGTCGTCAAGTTCACTTAAACACCTCTAGATACCTTGACCAATATGATGGCAATATGCCAGGCTGTCGTACTTACTGAGTAAGGATTTTACCTTTTTAAATTGTTTTTTAAAATGCATAACTTCCACTCGTTAGCGTGCCCTTACCACGTGTACGCATCTCGTACTATCGTGTGCCATGCGTTGCCTCGTACTGCCCGTGATCCCTCAATTCTGCGTCCATCCACACCTTTTGGTACCGATGTAACCATTGACCACACGTTAAATCTATGTTGAACTCGCTTTATACTGCCCGCTGAACTAATCACACCGTTGATTCGGCTTTCAACCGTATCGAGATCTCATGGGTTATACCAATGTTTATATTGTGAAAATTTTAGGTAAATGAATAAATTCCTTTTATCTTTTGAGCTGTATGCAGCCTAAATGAACGTTCTGCAAAGACAGTAGAATCACGTATGAACGTTTTACTCACACTGTGCAAGAAGGGATAGCTATTCGATTCCCTTCTATGAAAGGAGAAAAGAAAATACAAAGCAATGGAAGGGGATGTAAAGCAGTCATGTTCTCAAGTTTTCGCTCATTCTGCTACACTTTTTATTTTACACAACATGCAATAATACTAGCGACCGGTTGAAGATATATAGTAAGGTTAGGTAGTGCATGACAAATAATGATGATTAAGAGTGGAAGATGAGCGATGGGATTTAGAAAACAGAAGGGCATAGTTGGAAGCAACGGGAATGCAGCAAGGATGGTTAAAGAATGAAAGGAATTAGGGAATTCTAGCAAGTAGCTAGCCTAAGCGCCAAGCAAGAAGAAACAATGGAGACCTGCCAAACTGGTGATTGCTGCTTTGCAAAAAAGTTTCACTGCGTTGATGTAAGATATTATCTACACATACAATCAAAAATGCAGATGATTTTCGATTGAGGTGGGAGAAAGTGGCGAACATTCGCCCATAAGACGTTTCTGACACAGTGCTATTTTGCAAATAAGAAAATCACTGTGTCATTTTGTTAATATTGGCTCAACCTCAGCTGAACATATGT